AAGATATATAATAAAGCCAGAAAATTACTTTAAAATTAAATAAAGAGCAATTAAATAAAGTGCAGACCAACCACATGCGGTAAAACCTGCCGATTGTGGGGTATGTAAATTAAATTACTGTAATATAAATTGCAGATTAAGAAAAGATTAAGCTAATTACTTATATTTAAACAGTATTAAAAGATTACAAGTAGAGATATCAAAAATACAGATATAAAGATGCAAATTACAGAAAGTAAAACCTTTGTATCCCTAGATCATGAACAAGATCCGGAATTATAAAGGTGTTCCAGGGATGATATGGATATGTAGATATGGATATGAAAAGATTGGTTAGGAATATGAAAAGCTTACCATGTATGGTTAGAACTCAGTGTTTGGTTCAAGGGAAGGATGGGTTTTAGATGCGGAAGGGAAGTGTAAAGGTGAGAAAGATGTGAAGAAGGTGTGAAAGGGAGGTATGAAAGAGAGGTGTGTAAGCAGAACCTGCCCCTTTTGTTAAGGGAAAAGGTCTTTATATAGGCCGGGGTCCTCTTGGAGAGAGAGAGAGAGTTCTTTTTAGAAAAAATAGGACATTATTGAAGGTTCACATGAGGTTGTTGTGTTTGTCTCTGAAATGAACAGGAAAAGGTCCATGGTGCCACAGTGAAAAGTCTGAAAAGATGCTAAAGTAAAATTTGAAAGTACAAAAGACTGAGATTCTTCTGTCTTCATTATGAAAGTGAAGAAAAATTCAAACAATGATTTTTCCTTCTTTTTCTTTTATTCTTCATCATCATCACCAAGATTGATACCGTAGCAATCATCTTCATTGGTGTTCCCACTATGATGTGAGTGGGAGGAGTTTGATTCTTCCAATTCTTCAAGGGCTTGTTTCAAAAATCACATTAGTTGCTGCTAAGATTGTGCTGATGCTAGCTTTGATAAAACAAACCCTTTATCATGGAGAAAAGGAGTAATATCATATGAACTGATATGGCATGGGTTTCTTTTGCCCAGCCATTCTGTGACTGCTTGCTCAGTAACCCTATCCAAAAATTTAAAACCATCCCACCACTTAATCTTGAATTTTCTGATTAAGATGAGGGTATCTATTTCTATGGCTTTTTTGTAGTCAAAATTCCAACTTGTTTCCCATGATACTCCAAAGTAGTAGAAAAAGAGCACCAGATTTGGAAATTTTGTTTCATATGAAAGGGGTGCAAATTGGTTAGCAAATATTTCGTAACTGGGTCGCACTATGGGGTGTAGCATTTTGCTGATAGGTCCAAAGTGTTCCCACCATCTAATGAATCAGAATGGTATATATATATATCTGTGTGCGCGTGCGCGCGCGTGTGTGTAAGGGTTAATGGATCGACTAAAGTGAGTAAAATGAGATACGTCTATTTAAATTATGTATCTCTTGAATTCATGAATCTCAGGAATTCGTGTATCTATTAAATTGATGAATCTATTAAATTCATACATCTTGTGAATCCATGTATCTCTTGAGTACATGAATCTATTTTATTCATGTATCTATTGAGTACATGAACTTTACAACTTTATAAATAGTTTTGAACACTTCTTCATTTGAAAAAAGAGAAATATCTCTCATCTCTTCACTTCAATTTTCTCTAAGTGTGCATGTTTCAAAAAGTGTTCGATAGAGTCATGTTTGCACAGTGCTAATTCAAATGGGTTCTAGGAGCTGTATCTTGGGAGACATAGATCGTGAAGCTACTTAGTATCGTTAACAGGAACTAATCACCTTAAGGAGATTCGGTTAGCTGCACTTCGCCTCTTGACTTCTCGAAGTGCTCAAATTTGAGAGTTGGTTCTTCTAGGTTGTACAACCTTGCTAGCATCTGACGACTCTCTCTCTAATCTAGAGCACCTGGAGCAATTGCAAATCCACCCGATAGGTTTCACGAAGAGAGATAATTGCGACCTTTTTGTAGTACCTTATGTATTTTGTGGTCTAAAATTCATGGCAACGCTAAAATAGAAAGGATAAAAGTTTAAGAACATCATTTTATTGGAGATATGATGTGTCTAGAGTATTTGTATTTATGTACTTGTTCTTTGCTTAGAACACTTTAAGACTCCATTGGAAAAATTGAATCGCTACTTGAATTGGAATTGGATAGCCCACGAATCGCATAATTACCTCATTCTATCAAAGATGTTAAAATGTTGAAGAAGATGAGTCGTCGTTGGACTCGAATAAAGAAGCTACTAAACCCAACAGGAGGACTAGAGTCTTTGCTTGAGCTAGATTTGAGGGGAACAGGTATCACCGAATTACCTAATTCTATTGGGAATTTAAAAAGGGTTGTGATTTACATCTAGACAAGAGTGCAATAAGAGAGCTCCCAAAGGCTGTAGAGATGTTGGAGACTTAAAGAGTTGAAGGCCCAGTGCCATGGAAATCTGGAGGGGGAAATTACTAGTGAAATCGAGGGTTTATTATTGTTGAGGACTTTAGACCTATGAAGCAGCAAGATTGAGAGATAGCCCACAATTATGAATCAGCTTTCTCATCTTCAACAACTTCATTTGGATCAATGTTGCGAGTTTTAATCTAGATAGATTGGCACTTGTCATGAGAGATGTCACACTTCCTTTCTATTAATTTAGCAACATTGACCAAAAAAAAAAGTGGCTACTCTTTCTCGCTTCAAATTCTTCAGATAACTTGTGTTGAGCCCCAATCTCTAATGGGGCTTCCATCCATTTAACTTGTGTTAAGCCCCGATCTCTGATGGGGCTTCCATCCATTCTTGAAAATTTGACTTTATATAATGTCAAGTCACCGATGGGAAGGTCACTCTTTTCCAACTTGACAAATTTGTCCAGTTTGGGCCTTTGTAATTGTCAGATGAGAGGTCGAATTTGATGATGCACTGCTATCGATATCAAGTCTAAAGGGGCTCCAATTGTTGAACGTGCTTGCTTGCCCGAGGAATGGAGACACAAGGTGTGGAGAAATTGAAATCGCTAAAGACTTTATTATTTTCAGATACAGATCCTTAGAAAGGTTACCTAATTTATCAGAATCTGCGGAGTTTGAATCTCTCACAATCACCATTGCAAAATTTGCCTGATCTTCGTCTTCCAAACACATCATTGGACAGTTGAAGGATGCGGGATTCCACCTGCCTTGGTCGGCAACTACACATAATGGAAGGATACTCAGCCGTAGCGTGGATGATATCAATGGCCAAGAAAGAAAGGATTATCTCATATTCTCTTACAGTTTGTAAAGTTTCCTTTGGTTTCTTCTTCCCCTACATTTTATTTTTCTTTCTTTTTCCTGAACAATTTTCCATTTCTTCCTATTAGAAACACTGTTTATAGCATGCATGCATGTTCACCTTTAAGTTTTATAACAATTAAAGCACCAGTCCCTTTTGTAATTATGAATTTCGAAAGAAAGGGAAAAAGAAGGTTTTACTTATGAATCGTGGACTATTATTTATGTTATATTGGGAATTAAATTGAGGTTCATAGATGGGATGATGACTATAGAAGTACTAGTTGATGGAAAAATGGTTGTTCACGTTCTTTAAGGAATGCTTACGAGGGCTTTGTGTTTGCTAAGACAAAATGGATTTGATTACTTACGGCGTAATAATATTTTTACAATAATAATAATAATATCTTCCAAAATCTAAGATCTCAAAAGTTTTCTTTCACGAAAATAATAACTTCCTCCGCAACCATTTTATAACTTAATGTGCAACGTTCTTGGGCTAGACTCTCTGAATTAATGTTTTTGAGCTAGACTCTCTAGACTTCCCCCCAAAAACTAACCCCCAAACCTCTCTAACCTATTGATTTTTCCAACCATCTGACTAAGTGATTTTACTCAGCTGACATGAGGGGAATTAGTTGAAGATTTCAGAGCTGGAGAAGGAGATTTGACGCTACAAATTTTAGTTGAATAGAGAGGAAATCTCTGGGCAATTTGAAGATGAAATCAGGCCCGATTGGGCCCCGTAACTACGGACCAGGCCTGTTTGGGCTTAGTTTCACCTAAGTAGGGCCAATCGGGCCTGACCAGGCCTTTTAAGACCCATTTGGATCTAACCAGACTTCACCAAGCCCAGTTGGGCTTCATCCGAACCAAGACTGGTCTGTCCAGGTTGGCCAGGCTTCATTAGAAATATTCAACTATTATGCTTGTATGCGTGAAAATGGGGAAAATTATTAAAGCAGTAATAAACTTATTGCAATTCTACCAATTCAATTCATTCAGTCAATTTTGGCCGACTGGCGCTGACGTGGACTTTAACCAACGTTAACGTGGTAATTTTTCGATTTTTTTCCTTTCTCTTTCCTTTTTTGTTTCTTTCCTTCTTCCTCTAGCCGATCGCCGACCACTGGTGATGCTTGCCCTCGCCGATATTGGCGAGGGCGAAGACCTCGCCATGGTTGTGTGGCAAGGTCGAGGTCGCCCAACTATGGCGAGGTCAAGGCTCACCCTCCCAAGTGGCCAGCAAGGTCGACCTCACCGGTTACAGGAAGATGGAAAGACAAAAAAAAGAAAGAGAAAGGAAAAAAAAAATAAAGATAATTCGAAAAAATATTTAAAAATTGCCACGTTAGCGTCAGCCGGTGCCTAGCGTTCACGTTAGCGACAGCCGGCCAAACTTAGTCTTATGGGTGAATTGATACAAATGGAAAAGTTTAGGATGAATTGATATAAATGGAAAAGTTTAGGATTGAATTGGCAAAAAAAAAGATTTAGGACAATTGGCCAAAAAAGATTTATGACTGAATTGGCAAAAAAAAGGTTTAAGACTGAAGTGGCACAATTGCAATAGATTTATGACTATTTTAATAATTCTCCTCATGAAAACGTGAAGAAATACGGTACGTGACATTCTTTTCGGGTCGCCTGAGTGAGACCTCAAGAATTTCGTTCACGATCTTCGAACGATAGGATAGGAGATTTATGTGTGCACATTCATGTGTCAACGAGGAGAAAATATTGGTTAGGACTATGACGAAGCTTGGATTAATCTAAGTCCATTCACTGGGCGACACATGTTGCCCAGGCCCAACCATGTTAGCCAACCAAATTTTAAAGGTTCAAGCGGGACTCTTTCTCTCTACTATGACGATTTCTCTCTCTTCACTCTTCCTTCACGCTCTGCTCTCTCTCTTTCTCGACTCACGCGAACCATGCCATCGCCTCCGACAAACCACCTTTTTTTACATTAAAGTTACAAAAAGAAAATCAACTTACGAACCTCACCCATCTCAAGTTTCCCTCCGGGTTTTGATTGAATCCGACCCACCATATGGCTAACCATCACATCGTATTGGGGATCTCATCCTTCGAGGACATTGTCTGCATCAGCTTTAGCCGCAGCATCTACAAGATTTCAATGCATTTGTATCGTCAGTCTTATAGCATACAACTGGATGATCACGATTTCGAGCAAAGGCAAATGCAAAGAGGGGTCGTCAGCCGATTTCTTGAGACCTTCGAGACATTGTCTGTCCATGACGATGAAGATATGCAGAAAATCACATCATTGTAGAGTTGGAGAATGAGAATATAATTCAGAACACCAATTGAATAGAATTAGAACATGCTACCATCATGTTAACCTAAGATCCACACAATAAACGCAACTAAATAATACCATCGGAAAAGATGAAATAGATCAATCGACTATCTCTCTCCTATAACCTTTGCTTGAAGACACAAATAGCTAATTGTCATCAAGTGCATGATATATATATATAAGCAATTAGTATTGCCTACTCTTTAGTCTCGCGAAACAAACATAAAGACTAATTTCTGCTCTTCTTTTTGTCAGCAAGATTGAACCAAGAACGCGCATACCCTCCCCATTGACATTTCCCACGTAAATAATCTCAAGCAAACAAATAATGCCCAGAAGCAACATTGCAAGCAGAAAGCCACCAGCTCACAAAAAAGAGAAGAAATCGTTCCCCAAGAAAAGCACTAAAATTTTTGGAGAAATCGAGGGGATCAAGCACAGGACGTAACCTAAAACATTCGGCGAGCCAGTGGAGGCGACGACGGAGACGGTGAGAACAGAGGAGAGAGAGGCGGAGAGAACAGAGTGAGTCCAAAGAGAGAACCGTAAAAAGAAGAAAAAACCCTTCAAAATAATACATCCCCAAAATAAAATTACACACATTTTGGAGTAAATTGGAAAATCTTTACCTTTAGAGGCGGAGGTGGAAGCGGAGGCATGGTTCGTCGGATGGCGGAGACGGCGAGAACAGGGCGAGACCAGAGAGAGACAGAGAGAACATAGTGAATTGAGAGAGAGATACGGCGTGGTTTGGCGTGGTTCGTTGGACGGCGGAGTTAGCGGATGAGGCAAAGGCGACAGCGTGCTTTGCGTGAGTCGGGAGGGAGAGAGAGCAAAGCGCGAAAAGAGTGAAGAGAGAGAAATCGTCGGAGTGAAGAGAGAGTCCCGCTTGAACCTTTGAAATTTGGCTAGTTGACACAGATGGGCCCGGGCAACACATGTTGCCTTATGAATGGACTTGGATTAATTCACGTGGCATCACAGTCCTGCCCAATATTTTCTTTCCTCTATGATCTCGGAAGATTGAAAAGCAATCTCTACTAGAGATATGACGATTAGGAGCATGCATGATAATCATTCTGTTTCTGTTCAAAACTAGTTTTCTATTTTCGGGAACAAGTTTGGAACATAAACGCTTTTGGTAATGCAATTTCATTTTTCTATTTCTAGAACAACTTTTTGTTCCAGAACTAGTTCTGGACCAAAAATCAGAACAAAACAAAGTCGGTTTTATGTTTCTAGATGAGAAATAAAAATCATTTCTAAAAAAACCTGTCTTCTCTCTTCAAAACACATCTCTTCCTAAATTTGGCCCCGGTCTGACCTAGTCAGACCAATCCGAATCGGTTGGGTCTGGTTCATTCCCGACGGGAAAATAAAAAAAATTCTAAAAAAAATTAGAAAAATCAGAAAAAAAATCATAAAATTCATAAAAAAAAATTAGAAAATCCGGAAAATTCCTAAAAATCTCAAAAAAAAATTCAGAAAATCCATAAAAATTGAAAATTCTAGAAAAATTCATAAAAATTCCAGAAAATAAAAAAAAGTCACATTTTGGGAAAATAGGAAATTTGGTGAATTTTTTCAAAAAAAATCAAAAAATAAAAAATTTCAAAACTTCACAGAGTGGCTTAAAATACTTGTGGTCACCCATTTTGAGTGAAATTTAAATTTTTTGAGGTGCCCAAATGATATTTTTGAATACTCCTTAGTTTAGGGATTTAAAAGGGGTTTTAACCCCTAAAAAACCCTAAAAGGGGTTTAACCCCCGAAATGGGTCTTTACCCCTAAAAAACCCTAAAACCCTAAAAAACAACACAATCCTTTGAATGAATAAGCCTTTAGGGCTTTACTAGGATTTGGGTATTTTGATTGATTTTCATTTTAGAGACCATTTCTAAAAAAATGGATTTTTGTTCCGGGAAATAGAAATTTGTGTTATTATCAAACGGGTTTATGTTCTAGGAAATAGAAATTTTATACTATTATCAAACGCGGTTTCTGTTCCAGAAATAGAAATTTTTGGTCGTTATCAAACGGGTTTCTTTCCTTAGAAACTCGTCCTGTGAACAGAAATAGAAAAATCTATTTCTGTTCCGGGAATTGTTTTTGGAACAGAATGGTTATCATTCGCGCCCTTGGTGTCTCATGTTTTTGTGGTTCTCCTCCCATTTTTTTTTTCATTGTGATAATATATGTTATAATAAATCTAAGGAAAAAAACCACCAAAGATCCTAATTTATGCCAATTATGATACTAATATCTCTAACTTTTTTTTATCTCACAAAAAATCTCAAATTTATACCAATGTGACAAACAATCACTCCATTATAATCTTATCCCTGACGGCATTAAAAATCCTACGTGACAACTTACATGGACAACAACAAGCAAACGGAGCTGACATGGATCTACCATGTCTCTAGCGAAGCGAAAACGTCATTTCCAAAGTACAAAATTATAAGATGTGGCCATGAAAGAGGGAGGACCCCAGTTCGGGGCGAATAAAGAGGCCATGGTCGAACATATCGTCCATCACACCTCTCTCAAATCGAATCTAAGGTGTAGCCTTAAATTTGAGTTGCCCATGCCCTCAGATCATATGAGGTACCGAGGTCTCAAACCTGAGGCCACGGTTGGGTGGTTATGGTGGCCTCGAACTTGAGGCCTCCAGCGGCTGACTTGGATAGGATTATGACGGAGGATCTGTTTGTCACACCGATACAATTTTAAGGTTTTTGGCTATTAAAAAATTTTGAGATACTGGAGTGGTGATGGGTATGATATAGGAGTTTTTATGGTAAGTTTTCAAAAATTAATTGCATCAGTCATTAATTTAAGGGATAATTGCATTGGAAGTCACAAAACTCATAATGAAAATGCAATTGAGGCCTAAAATTTTTAAAAAGTACACTTAAGTTTTAAAACTTATTAAGAAAGTGTAATCGAGTCCTAAAATTTTTAAAATATGCAATCAAGTCTTAAATCTTATCAAATTAATTCAATCAAATACTCCCGTTGATTACACTTTTTAAAAGCTTATCCCTTGATTTAATCCATCAATTGGCATCGTTTGCAGTTAGTGGTACCAAAAAAGAGGAAAAACCCTCGCTCGCGCACACTTTTTGAACCTTCGCGAATCGACGAGGGGGCGGTTCCTGTCTTCCTTCCTTCTCCCAAAGGCTTTTCGAGGTTCTCTTTCTCTCTTGAGGGTTTCTCAGTCACTCTTCGCGTCGCCGAGTGACTCTCCATCTCCGCCGCCGCCGCCGCCGCCGCTGCAGATCCGATTTCGCTCCATTCTCGCAGCTGCTTCTCCTCCTCGTCGTTTTGAACGCGCATCCGATCCCCTGCTCGCTGCTCCTCTGCCGAAACCAGAGCGGACGAAGATGGCCGTTTCAGCCCAGACGCCCGACATCTTAGGCGAACGCCAGTCCGGCCAAGACGTTCGCACCCAGAACGGTACTCCCCTGTCCTTGTTCTCTTTTCCACATCCCTTTCCGATGGATCGATGGAGTGTTTTCCGTTCGCGCTTCAATCGGTTGAGGTTTGTGAATGTTTGTTCTGTCCTGGAAATTTGGAACAGTGGTGGCTTGTCAAGCTGTCGCCAACATTGTGAAGTCATCGCTCGGTCCTGTCGGTCTTGACAAGGTGAGTTCTGCGGCGATGCGTGGGTTTTACTCGCTGCTTGCTTTCGTTTTCAGCTTAGGTGCGGTTGGGTGTGGCTGAACTGAGTCTTGTTTAGTTGGGTCTGAGATTGTTGTTTGGTGTTGTTAGTTTGTTGAGATTGATGCCGTTGTGCGTGTTTCGGTTTTGTCAACGTTGTCAGAGCTGCTAATTTGATTTGTCGCGAAGAGCAGGCGAAGATCTGTTGTGTTAAAGTGGTTGTCTTTGTTATTATACACTTGCCGTTGGTTGTACAAGATGCAATTCTGTGATTTATTTTGATGAAACGAGTCACCAGAAGTGTTAATGTTGCTAACTCTATGCTTTACTTACTTGAACTTTAACTTTAGGGTCGATCTGGTATGGAATGGTAATGACTTCTAGGGATTACTGTTGACTGTTGCATTTGGTCCGGTTTGTGTAGTGTCAGCTTTTCCTCTGTAGAGATTGAAAATCTGACTTACTTCTCTGCTGTTTTGTTCGATGCGTCAGATGTTGGTTGATGACATCGGTGACGTAACAATTACTAATGATGGTGCTACAATACTCAAGATGTTAGAAGTGGAGCACCCAGCTGCTAAGGTCGGTGGACAGTCACCTTGTTTTATGTGACTAAGACTCTGAAGCTTAGAGATTTAGGCACTCATGTTTGCTTCACTGGGGTATACAGGTATTAGTGGAGTTGGCTGAGCTTCAGGACAAAGAGGTCGGAGATGGTACAACTTCAGTAGTCATTGTAGCTGCAGAGTTGCTTAAGGTAACGGTAGCTATTTGTAGTTGGGTGCAGCTTAGTTTGTGGGTTGTCCTGGTAATTTGTTACTTTAGAGTGATGTCTAGTCTAATCAGTGACTTGATCATTGCTTTCGCAGAGGGCAAATGATCTGGTGAGGAATAAGATTCATCCAACATCGATAATTAGTGGTTTCAGAGTGAGTACTTTGTTTCCCACTTTTCTATTTATTTTTCCATTTTCCCTAGAATATGACAGGAGTTGACAGAGGAGCAGCTAGAGCATAAATGCACAGTAAGATAATCTCATTTCTCATGCTTCTCTAACAAGTTTCTCTCATGTTTTGTGTGTTTCCCATTATGCAGCTTGCTATGAGGGAAGCTTGTAAATATGTTGATGAAAAATTGGCAGTTAAGGTATGGCTTTGTGAGCAAGTATAATTTGCAAAGTGCACAATTTGATTAGTCTTTTTGTTCATCATATATATGTTGTTTGTGTGATGATATAACTAATTTTTAAAGAAAAGTTTATGCTTAAGTGCAATTTGAAAAGTGCATTAATCATTTCGTTGATATTGGAATGACACAATTACAACACATGTTTCTGTGCTTTATCATGATCTACAATCATCAAGAAAACAGAAGGTTCTTTAAGGAAATGTTTTGAGCCATTTTATTTTTTCCACTTATCGGTGATAAACTTGTTTGGCTATGATCTATATCTTTATTGAATATCATGCTTTCTGATTTTTCATAGGTTGACAAGCTCGGAAAGGATTCCCTCGTGAACTGTGCCAAAACAAGCATGTCATCAAAGTTGATTGCTGCTGACAGTGACTTCTTTGCTAACTTGGTATGTTGACAGTCACTATAATAGTGGAACTTTTATCCTCTAGATTATGGGTGTGGTTCAAGTAGGGAGCCATCTTGTTTGAGAGGAGAGGTTGGAGCCATGGTGCATGTAATTTAGATAGTATAAACACCGTTGCTCGTTATGTTTTCTGGTGAGGCTGCGCATATGGTCACTATGTATTTTCCATGAGTCAATCATGTTGGTCTTGCAACAGTTTTAGGAGTTGATCCTAAACTCCTTAACCTAAAGTTTTCTTCTTGAGTAAAACTCCTGTCATGCTATCAGTGCTCGATGAAATTACTTCAATTTGCCTTTCTATATGCTTCATGATTGCGTTCAGCATATGCAGGATGATTATTGAAGCGGTGCGTCATTTATGGCACTTAAAGTAGTAATGTTAATCTGCTAGTTTGTTGCTGGCACATAACGATTTGCGTTCAGGTTGTAGATGCAGTACAATCAGTAAAAATGACCAACGCCCGTGGGGAAGTTAAATATCCTATCAAGGTTAGTAGTTCGTATTTACATCTTGTCGGTGTAATACTTTA